ATGCAATGTGGCAGCAATTGCACCTCTTTGTTATGATCTGTTTGTGGAGATGGAATAAGTCTCCAAAAATCATGCACAGCTGTTTTATAATTTAAAAATGAAAATAAAATGCTATTGGACATTTTAATTGTTAAAGAACAATCCTCCATTTCGGAGTAAACCATTTGTGATTTAGAGGCTTTTAAAGCACTGTACTAGTATTATGGATTTTTTTTATCTTATTTACTTATTTATTTAATAAAAGTATTAAACTTAGTGGACATGACATCGATCATATAAAAAAATTATTATATGTAATAAAAGGTTAAAAAAACAGAAATGGAGATCAAAGTTAAAGAGAAATGGTTCCATTTATTTATTTGAATGTCAACAATGGCATGTGCACACCATCATGAACAATCAGTAGCTTTCATTTCCATGTTAAAAGATCAAACCACATTGATAAATTCTACAGATGCTGCACTGTTACAAATCCATCCCAATACATTAAAATAGTAGCTCCCACATCCATCCATGCTCAAATCTAGAGCTTCTCATTGCTTTGGCATTTGAAGGGACAAGGTCGCATGTCATCACATCCCCCAGGAGGCACAAGCAAATACAACAAGTCCCATTAAAATTACATGTCTATAAATGGGGGCTAAGTACACGAATTTGCATGAGGGGAGCAATGTAAGCAAAAGGGGGGAGGCAAGGTAGTGCAAACATCTTTGTCAAAGATCATTGCCACATGATTGAATGGGATTGTCAAAACTGTTCAACACTATGTGTTGTAATTATGGGTGAAATGTCACTTTGTTTGCTTCAATTGAATGAAGTGAGGAGGATGAATTTGGGAGTGATGTGGGCATTTGTATCATAATTCTAATATCCCACCCTCATGGTATTTTTGGAGGTGGGTTACAGGTGAGGGAGGGTCATTTCTGTTGGCAGACTCCACACCCAGTATTTTTTTTCAGTACTTTGATAATTTAAAAAAATAGATAAATAGATACACAAAATGAAGTAGATAAACATGGTGAATACAGTAAGGCTTGTGTGGGACACAAACTCTGGTTTGATGCAGCAAATCACAACCTTGTGTTCACTTTTTGCCTGGGTGACATGGGTTTCAAGTATTACATTATTTCATGGAAGTAGAAAGCACTTCTTCTTTCTATTTTTATTTTATGCTTGAGAAAGTTAAGTCTCTCTATAATTTATTTATTTACTGTCTTCTCTTTGTGCAATAGATCAGTTGAAAGTCACCTCTCCTTTTTTTTCTTTTTGGTTTTTGTTTTATTTTTTTCCAAATCCTCCAGATATGTTCCTTGACATTATGTCCAATGCTAATGTTTTTTTTTTTTTACTTCCTTGGATTGCAATGAATTTGTTGAGCTGGCATATGGCATTGTAGTTCCTTTGTTAGATTTGTGTCAAATGATAGATGATTGGTGCAGCATTTGGGGAATGTGTTAACAACACATTTATCAATGATACCAATCAATTGGGGTTTTGCAAACAGTGGCTCTTCTTCATCATACACTTAATAATGATAGAGGAGGGGTAGTGCACATAGAATGCATTGACAATATAGCAGTGTGGCACAAGCCATGGATGGATATCCATGTGATGTAGAATTCAGATGTCCTAAAGATAACTACCTATTGGAAGCCCCCCTTACCTGTACTTCAGAAACAGGGGGTGACAGGTAACAGTTGTGAGAAGAGTCCTTGAAGTCCTTGGAGACCTATTTTCCACAATGGTGGGTCAACCTTTATAACTAAATAAAAGGAACCCACGACTTTATATTGCACTTTTTCAATTCTTTTTGTCAAAAACTTGGGAAGAAAGGGAAAAGAAAAAAAGAAAAAAAGAAAAAAAGGTAGGAAAAAGGAGAATCACTTTGGGTGCCACCCAATAACCTTTTTACAAGGCTTTTTCATTGGAATAAGGCTCTCACCACTCTCATTGCCCTTTGGTAATATCAGGACCTCACAAAAATCCTTTGAAGATTATAACAATGGGGTATTGCACTGAAGAGAGTTAATTTTTTTTTTTTTTTTAATGTTTGTCCAAGGGACCAAGCATATGCCACTTTTGTTTGTATATTGAAAGATGTAACCCCTTTTAGCTTTTGCAAGAGATAGGTTCATGCTTCTGTTGCTACAATCTCTTCATCCATTTCATTTACTTGCACATTCTTTCTTTTGCTTTAAAATTTAAGGTGGTCCTTTTTTTACTCTAGCTGCAAAGGCTGGGTCAAAGCATGCCTGCTGAGGACACATCACTACACCAAGTTTCTGCTAGAGTTTGAAAATGGTCCTCCACATACATAAAATAAAATAAATAAATGAAATAAAATAATATAAAATAATGCACTAATATAAGCCATTGCCAAAACCATTAACTATTGAGTAGATAAAAAAAATGAAGGGGTGGGGTATCATTCTCTGTTTTGCAAACCAAGGATGCAGGTTCTAAATATGGAACAATACTCTCCGTGAGACATTGGTTGAAATTTGACCTTGGTTGACTCATGGGTGAAGTAGAATGTTGGTGAGTGTGCAACAAGAGTGGCATGAGAAAAGCAGAGCTAATAGGGTGGGGGACGAAAGAGGAAGAAGAAGAAACACAAAACCCATTTGATCATTAACACTATTCAGCGCCATCTTTGTGAGAGAGTTGCAAGGGCTTTTTTTGCCCTGAAACAAACAATTTTGCTTGACCATATAAAGGTGTGTCTTCAGAGCGATTGTTGGTCCAACTGAGTCAACAGAAAGTCAGCACCAGTGGGATGCAGGTTGACACATGGCTGCATGATACACCTTGCTGAATAAAGTTTGACAAAATAAGAGGAATAAGAAGTAATAAATTACTAAGTAAATAAAATTTAATACAAATTAAACTAAAAAAAGAGAAGGGAAGGTTGTTGATGTTCCTCAGACTTTTTCTTTTTTCTTTCTCTTTTTCTTTTTTCTTTTTTCGCCCTCTCATATGCTCTTTTTATGAGAGCCATTCTGCACAAATTTGTTCAGATGATGATCATTGGGGGCACTGGTCCCCCTCTTCATTCTGACAGTGTGGAACTGTGTGAAGTGTTTTGAAGAAGATGTGTGCTGTCCTTTATTATTCTCAATTAGAGCCTAATGAAAGTTTACATAGAATGCCCGTATGAAAATGTGTTCTTTTTTCTATATATATATATATGTATATATATATGACCTGATTTGTAGATGATTTTCCCTCAATACTTTTGACTGGATGCTGTGAGATTATTTGAAATAGGTTGCTATCTTCATTGATACACAAATTAGATTGATTTCCCCCTAAAGAAAACAGATGACATTGATCATCTGGGAGGGATGGGGGATCTCCTAAAGTTCTTCCTATTGATGGGTGTCAAGGTTAGTAGTTTGATTGGAGGATTGGGCTCTAAGAACAGTGACAATAATTCAAAGTGAATGTCCAGTTCTGCATCGTTTTTTGCACTTGTTTTGACTGCCTTTTGCTTTGTCATTAACTTTTCCAATAGCATTCTGAAAACACACTGCTACCTCATAATATTTTCTAGACTTTTCTCTCTTTTTATTTATTTTTTAAATGATGTCATAGTGCAAAGCCCAAATTACAGCAACAATTCATGCTACCATAACAACTATTCTACACCATGTTATTTTTTTTCAATGCCACCAAAAAAATTACATCAAATTAAAAAGAAAAATAATCGATTGTAAGCACCTATATATGATGATGATGATTACAATCTGATTAAAAAGTGAAAAAGAAGAAGAAGAGGAGATTACTTGAAATTGAAGCCAATTCCACATGTTCTAACAAAATGTAAATCTCTTAATGCAAACTCTTTTTTGTTGTGATTAATGTGGTGTGCAAGTCAAGAACTTTGTTTGCTTATTAATTCGTCCACTTAAATTTTTGTAAAAGTTCTAAATAAACAAAAAGAAGAAAAGAAAAAAGAAAAGAAGTAGTAGTGTGGTATTGATGTGGCAAAGAAATGGAGGTAGCTACCAAGGAAGTAATTAGCAGCTTGCAAACTGATGGCACTAGATTTGCAAGCAGTAAATGAGGGATAGTTGTACAGACCAAATGTCTACCTCCAGACATTCAATTTTGTTGTCATTTGCAGTCTCCCCTTGGATACCATTCATACATTATAACAAAGAAAGAACTGATTTATAAGCCTCGAGAGGCTAATTCACTCACTGTAAACCAGCCCCCCACACTCACCAGTCACACAGAAACATGAGAGAAAGTGACTCTCATCCAAATCAATCTTTCTAGGATGATGCGACGACGACAGCAACTAGAAAGACACAGAGAGAGAGAGAGAGAGAGAGAGAGAGCGAGAGAGTAGAGAACGGGGATTCCATAAGCAGGACGGAGGAAGGGGGAGGAGCAACATCCCATGCCCAGGGAGGAGCGAGGGAACAAGCGAAAAGAATGTGTACTTAGAACGAAAGAAAGAGGGTGAGAGAATGGGCTTCCAGAACGAGAGAATAGAGAGGGTCTAGGCAGCGAAAGAGGCTCAACATGTCTGTAAGTGGAGAGGTGGGTGGAAGTTGCCACCACAGCCATGCGTGGCAGGAGGTAAGGGAGGGACGGACGGACGGACGGACGGAGGGAGAGTAGGGCATGCACGAGCCCACCACCACCACCACCACCACAGGAAGGAGGGCGAGGAGGGAGGGAGCAAATAATAAATAAATATCAGCAGAGTGAGTAGGGGGGGACGTCAGCGTTGAAGAAGCTCAAGGAAGGAAGGCTGATCATCATCGTGCCCGTCAGTCAGTCAGTTAGTCAGTTAAGTCAGGCGGAGCGAGGGAGAGGGAGTGAGTGAGGGGAGTGAGGGAGAAGAACCCGGCGGGGCGGGAGCGAGGTGGTGGTGGTGGTCGGGGTGCAGCAGCAGCACCAGAGTGTGTGCGGGAGTTGAGGAGGGAGGGAGGGATGGATGGATGAGTACCTACAAACATGTATGTATGTATGGATGGGAAAGTAGCGTTGGAACAAGCAACGTGGGGGGGGGGCTAGAGTTGACTGAATCCACTGCGCTTGCTTGCTTGCTCACTTCACCAGCTTCCTCGTCCCCTGCTTGCCTTCCTTCTCTCTCTCTCTCTCTCTCTCTCTCTCAGTGTGTGTGTGTTTGTGAGTGTTTGTTTGTTTGTTTGTTTGTGTGTGTCTCTCTCTCTCTTTCTCCTTCCTTCTCAAGCCTTGTCACCAACACGCATACGCGCATCAATACATGCTCTACTGAGTTTGAGTTTTCCATTCAAAGAATCTCTCTGTCATACGCGCTCTTCCCTTCTCTCCTCTTTCCCTTTCTTCTCCCCCTCTTTCTTCCTCTTCTTTCTGCGACAATTTGTGACCTTGGACTAGCTGAAATTTTCTGAAGGTTTTACGCTTCAGATACCTCGTAGTTTATTCTTTTTCCAAAGTCACACGGCGAAGAGGTGTAGATGTGGGTGTTTAGTTCACGCTAGGCCGGTGAGAAAGCATTTAATTTTTAATTTTTTAATTTTTTTCTCTTGGGAGTTTAAGTCAGAAAGTGACACTGCATCGGTGGTTCGGTAGTGGAGATTTTTGGTTGTTGGATTGGTGGGGAAGCTTGCGCAGCAGGTTGATTTTGCACCAACGGCGAGTGTCTGTTGTTGGCGTTGTTGTTATTACAGGTACAAAGATACGTTTCTCATTTTTCTTCCTGTGAGTATCTCTTGCTTGTCATCTATTGATTTCTGAGGGACGAGTTGGCGAGGAAATGTTGCGAGGACAAGTGTATGTGATTTTGGAATGGACGATGGAGTTATGATGTTTAGCTCTGCACCAACACGCAATGGCAGGCGACCCGGAAATTAATCGTTGATGTGATTCTTGGACACTTCGCTACAATAGCGTTGGTTGCAATCGTTTTGATCCTTGCAGCAACTCTTCTCAGTAAATTAAACACTGTCTTCTTCCTTTCTATTTAGTCGCTGGCGACGATGGAGTGCGAGGTTATGTCTTCGTGGAATTTCTGTTGAGGCGGTTTCTCCTCCTTTCCTAATGAGTCCTCCCAAGTCCCAGGAAGGACCAGGTCAAGTAGAATGAGTGTTGTAGCGGAATGCGTGGACTTGGTCTTGTTCTGGCTCGTTTGTTCGACTACCATCAGCAATCCTGCGATTGTAAGTGATTAATTTTGTCGGGCCGAAGTTTCATATCGAAACTGCCCAGTGATTTGTTGAGCTTCTGCTAGTAACTTATTGCACAGGAAAGTGCTTTTAGCCCTTTCCAATTCCGTCCAGACGTAGGGACAAGGAAAGCAAGGAAATAGAGGGGAGATGCTCGGTTTGTGGGTTCTCGCTCCAAACAACCGTGACAAGTGAGGTTCGAGTATTGAGTCTTTCTGTTGCTACTTGTGTGGGTGTAGTTGATGCATCGAAATGGTGTGTAATTTATAATCTTTGGCAAACTTTCTCCTTAAAGTATTACCTGCCAATTTATCACTCTGTCATATCAACTCCTCCTTCCAGCTCTAGTGTGTTAGCAATAAATTTTTGGACGCTCGATGTCGAGATTCTTTTCCATCGCTGTAGGACCCCGCCTTTCCTCCTACCGATTCATCAAGTTCCTAAAATTCCCAGTCCAATTTGTCCTCCTTACAGCTTCCAGAAGTAGAGTTTTTTCTGCGTGTCACTGTGCTGAAAATATGGTTTGGTTTATTGTATTTTGTGTTGTAGGGTTTGCGGAGGATTGTTTTAGAACAGGGTCTAAGCCTATCTGTGGGGAATTCCATGCGAGTTGATGAAAGGGGAGCATTTTGGGGTTACTAAAGCATCCTCGACGGAATCCGGGACAATATTGCTCATCAAACCAACGCCCTCGCGTCAGCAACCAACATCGTCATCGTCTATGACCACTCACAAGGCCGACAGTCCCATGAGCATAGCCTCTAGTTTCCTGAACGACCAAGATCCGGAGCATGAATTGAAATCCTTCTCGCACCTCCTCGCAGGTGCCATGTCCCCCACTGCCCCCTCCAACAACCCCACTACCTCTAACCCGGAGGAGAAACCTTCACCCTCTATGGATGCCGTGGGGAGCAACTCTCCTGCCCGAAGTTTCGCAGAGAGGCTGGCAGCGCGAGGAGCAGCATCGAACAAGAGTGAGTCTGCCACTGAGGTCGGCACAGCCGCTCGACCACCTTCGACTAACAATGGTAGTCGGTACAACAATCGTCCACCCCCATCCAGCCTCCCTCATCCCCGAAGTGGGTCTGCTGGAGGAGGAGGAGGTGGAAATGGCAGTTTTTTGACTATCCCCCCGGGCCTTGTCTCTCCCACCACTCTGTTCGACCCCTCTCCTGTCATGCTCACAAATGCACAGGTATGAATCCTATTCTTGCATTCATCTCATCAGTCATAATCTCTTGGAATTGGCTGCTCTTCATGAGGTAGATGGCGAGAATTGAGTTTTGACATCAATTGTGTTTATGTGCACAGTCCGAGCCGTCTCCAACGACGGGATCATTCTATTATAATGGAGGAATGCGTGCATTGTCAAATGGATCCAAGGACAACCAGAATGCTAATCAAGGAAACCAAGGCTTCGTCTTTAAACCTCTCGGTGTCAAGACCGTCTCTCGAAACCAAATGTCACATCTGCCAAACCTGCAGCTTTTCGCTGGTATGTCGCAACAACAAGCGCAGGTTATGGCGCACATGCAAAGCCGGCAGCAACAACATCAACAACAACAGCAGCAGCAGCTACAGCAACAGCAACAGCAACTATCAAATCAGTCGTCGCAGAGAGCTGCAGTGGAGGCTGAGAATTCTCAGGACTCAGAGCAAGATAATCAACCCCCACCTCCTATGGCTGCTCCGACGATCATGGACAGGCCGTCCGAGGATGGTTACAACTGGCGAAAGTATGGACAGAAACAAGTAAAGGGCAGTGAGTATCCTCGCAGCTACTACAAGTGCACGCAGACCAATTGTCCGATGAAGAAGAAGGTGGAACGGTCGCACGATGGACAGGTGACAGAGATTGTGTACAAAGGTGATCACAACCACCCTAAGCCTCAGCCTACACGCCGCATGGCCTTGAGTGGAGCGCATTCTCTCTCCGATGGGTTATCTCGAGATGGAGACGGTAACGACAGCAGGCCAGATTCATGGGTGGGATTCCAAACACAGGGGCACGGCGGACCGTCATCGGCGTCCGGCAGTGATGATGACGACGGTAGCAAACTTTCTAACGAGGATGGCGACGATGATGAGCAGGACTCGAAACGAAGGTTTGTCATCTTCGCTGACGTTCTGAGGATGGCGGAATGCTGTGTGAGCTAGATCTCTTGATTCTGTTGCAAACTGTGCTCACTAATGGCATTGTATTGTTTGACAGGAAGAGGAATGATAATTCGAAGGATGCAACCGCAGCGCCAAGGACTATAAGAGAGCCGCGAGTAGTCGTGCAAACAACGAGTGATGTAGATATTCTCGACGATGGCTATCGGTGGCGCAAGTATGGCCAGAAGGTCGTCAAGGGCAACCCGCATCCTCGGTAGGAACCTAAACATAACTCTCTATGCTCACCTCAGTTGTTTGCTCTCGTGCTTTTTCACTTCAATGACGGGAATTACTTAGACACGACTGCTGTCTTTTATCAGGAGCTACTACAAGTGCACGAACGTCGGTTGCCCTGTGCGCAAGCACGTTGAACGAGCCTCCACCGACATAAAAGCCGTGATCACCACCTACGAAGGAAAACATAACCATGACGTCCCAGCAGCACGTAACAGCGGGCACGACATGGCTGGTCCCGTAGGTCCACCTCCCACAGCGGCGGCTACAGCTCTACTAGACCAAGGTCTTCGCTATGGCAGGCAATTACCGGGCGGATACGGTGACGTTCGCCGGGGGGAGAGCATAGCTCAAGCCATAAGCCTCAGGGACAGAATGCGGAAGGACGACGACCTATATAATACTGCGCCCATCAGCATGGGCTTGTCTTCCAATGGAGACCATCGGCAAGGCTCTCAAGCCATGGACGGGTACCGGTCACAGATAATGTCAAGGCCAAAGCAGGAGCAGGGAGACACGAGCTCCCGGCCTTCGCATCCCAATCCCAACTCCTTGATGTACCAACAAAACATAGCGCATAACATAGCGCAAGGCCTGAGGCGTTGATCGAAAACTTCTCTCCACCCTATTGCCTGTCAAATCACGCAACATATCCTTCCCACATCTCTTGCTCCTCCCCCCCCTTGAGTCTGCTTTCAACCATGGCACACCCGGTTTTGTTCGTCCTACACCCCTTCCATTTCAGCACATTGTGGCCACTCTGTACATTTGTAGGTAGCCATTAGATACTCTCGATAGAGCCTTTGCCTTGAAGTTCACGGCCTGCAGGCTCAGGCCGTGTGCATTATTTTTGACTAGGTAAAAGAGAGGCATCCCCCTGTCTTCGGGGGATGCAACCAAACTCAACCCAACGGAGACGGAGACAGTGACTCTCTTGGATTTATTGTAGATTGATTTCATGCAGCACTTTGGCACACAACCAACCACGGACCTTGTACATTGGGCTCAGGGATTTGTATGTCTCTGCTCTATCAAGAGGAAGAAGAGGACAGGCAGGTGTATTGCGAGTATCTCCCACCACACAATCACCCAGAGCACACTTCGAGGCGACCCTGCCATAGCCATGGCAGCAGCGGTGATGGTGTAGAAGAAGAAGCCTAGTGTAAATCCTCTCCCACGCCGCAACCATATGTGCTGTAATCTTTGGCCCACATCTTGCTTTCCTTGCGCGCAACGAATGTGGGTGACAACGGGATCGACGACTTTCATTCATTTTCTGCAACTTACGCGCTTCCGTCTCTCCTTTGCCGTGTGTGCGTGTGCCCCTAATGGAGGGGTGCTCTTGTGTGTTGTTGGCATGTGTTGTTTTAAAGTAGCTTCAACGTAAAATTTAAGTAATTGCAATTCATTTGTGTGTTTTGTAGTTTAGTTTTATTTTTATTTTTAACTAGCTTGATCCTAGGAATGTAGCAATTACATTGGTTTTAGAGGGTGAATACAAATAGATTGGTGTTAGAATAGTGTAATTGTAATTGATGCCATTGAATTTGGATGGATTTTGATGCATATAGAAATTGATGTTTTATAGTTCTTAGCACTTCATTCAAATCTTGTGGTTTTGATTAATACTTTAATGATTTTAATGTATATGATTTTAAAAATAATTTTAATTTTTTAAACTTTAAAATCTTCATGCATATGTGTTAAAGTAAAAAAAAAACATTATATTTTTAAATAACTAATTTTTTTTAAAATAATATTATTTTTTAAATTTAATTTAATCATATTTAAATTTAATAAAAATATAAGAATATTAGAAAATCATAAGAAATATTAGATTAAAAGGAATATTAACAAGATTTAGAACAATTTTTGTCTTTATTCAAACCAATTGTAAGGTTAGAAGTATATTGCTTAAGTTTTAAATAACTTATTACAATTTTTTTTTATTTTTTTATATAATAATATATTAGAAATTAATAAAAAAATTATTTTATTTTTTTAAAATCAAAAAAAATTTTACATTTTTATTTTATTTATTTATATATATATATATATATATATAGTGAATTTTACTTATATGACTTCTTATATTTTGTGTGTTAGAAAAAGTATTGCAACAATAGATATATTGACAAATAAGGCTTTGAATTGATCCTAAAATAATTTGAAAAGACTTAAAATGAATTTAAGACAAGAATAAGGTTTATACCAAGAAATTAATATGATGTAACACAAAGGTTATCTACATTCTATAAAAATAATTTTTAATTAGAATATTTTTTTTAGATATAACTATAATTAATTTAGATTTCTACTAAAAATAACTTTAAGAGAAGCAATGGTAGATGCAAAGATTTTCAAAATAAATACTAAGTTCTTATAAAAATATTATATCATTATTTATTTTTATTTAAAAAATTATGCATAAGAAATTCTTTCTTCTCTCAGTACTTGGAACTTTAAAACTCATAGCTTAGAGAGCTAGAAAAGAACATAAAGTGTTTATAACCAAGCAAGAACTTTGAAAGAAGTTATTTTAACTTCATAATACATAAGAGCTATAAATCTTTAAGCTCATAATCAAAGTTACAAATTTGTACTTAAGAAAAGAAAAAAAAGAAATTAAATAAAGTCTTTGATTTAATAGTTAGTTATCAACATAAAAATAAAAAATACCAAAGAAGACAAGAAAAGAAAAAAAGAAAGAAAAAAAAATAATATAGTATTTTTTAAAAAAACACTTCAACTAAAGAATCTAAACCAAGCTATTACTAAAGATACTAAAAACTTTAAATGATAACATTGCCTATAATAACATATATAGGTTCAATATACAAACTGTCATGGACATACATTGGAAGATTCTTCGAATATTCTTCTAGAATATTCTCTAAAGATTCTCTAAAGATTCCTTTAGAAGGTTCTAGAATATTCTTAGAATATTCCCTAAAGATTCTTTTAGAAGGTTCTAGAATATTCTTAGAAGGTTCTAGAATATTCTGATAGATTTTAGGAAGTTGCTCGAGAAGTTTCCTAATTAGTAGAAGTTGTTGGAGAAGCGTCCTAGTTAGCGGAAGTAGCTCGAGAAGCTTCCTATTCAGTAGTATATATAGGAGTCGAGGCTGAAGGGTTCTTCAGTCTCGATAACACATCTCTTGGAGTTCTAGCTCACCTTTCTGGTGTTGTTCTTGTACTCATCTGTTTAATCTAGTTCTGCCACTTCTTCTTGAACTTCTTGTTAGATTTCAAGTCTGTATTTTGTGTCCGTGACAGTTTGTCGAGACTGCATTTTCACTGGTATCAGAGCTAGTTCCTTCTTGTTAGAGAGTGGATTACCCCTCTTCTTGAAGGTGTGCTAGTGTTTTAGAGGTTGCGGATTACCCTCCTCTAAACTGATATCTCTTCTTTCTCAATATTGGAGCCTTATTCTTCTTGGAGAGAGTGGATTACCCCTCATCTTGGAGTCTTAAGGCGTTTTAGAGGTTGCGGAGTACTCTCCTCTGAACCAATATTGTCCTCTTGTCAAAACTCTTTTTTCTTCTTTCTGAAGGTTAGCCGAAGGTTAAGACGTTAAAATGGCTGAAAGTTTGGAATCCAAACTAGATGCCATCATAAATGCCCTTGCCTCGTTGTCACATAGGACAACAGAGATCGAAGGAGTCATGGTAGGACTCCATAACAATGGAGCATCTGGGATAGCGCCATCTAAAGCATATCAGCCTCAAACTTCTGCGCCAGAAGAAGCAGTTCTACCTCCATTTCAACAAGATCGAGTAGTCTTACAACGAAAGGAGCCTCGAGTTAGTCTTCCGGATAAGTTTGATGGAACTCGTTCCAAGTTTCGAGGTTTTGTCAACCAAATCAGGTTGATAACAATTTTACAGCCCGAACGTTATCCGACGGAGGAAGCGCGTGTTGGGCTTGTTGGAACCTTGCTTACAGCACAAGCCCTATCGTGGTTTACTCCCTTGTTCGAGAAGCGATCGCCAATCCTGAGCAACTTTGAAACGTTCTTGGAGGCGTTTGCAGAAGCATTTGGCGAGCATGATAAAGTTCGATGGGCTACAACAAAGATCCGATCGCTACGACAAGGAACACGCTCTGCATCAGTCTATGCCTCGGATTTCAGACAATTGGTAAGTGACATTAATTGGGGTGAAGAGGCGTTGGTGAGTCAGTTTTATTGGGGCTTGAAGGATGATGTGAAGGACTTGCTGTTATCTCTTCCTGATCCTCAAACGCTCAACGAAGCTATTAGCCAAGCTGTAAAGTGTGACAACCGCCTATTCCAGCGTCGCCAAGACCAACGTCCAAGACACCAAATGACTCGTTACGACGTGACTATGTCTGCAAATAGCTTAAACTCACATTCGGAGGCAACAGACATGCAAATCGACACAGCACGTGTCCGATCTCTTACTCCAACAGAGAAGAAACGGCGTATGGAGGAAGGGTTATGTTTGTACTGTGGAGAAGAAGGTCACAAGGTTGGAAATTGCCCAAAGAAGCAAAATTGGCACCCTGTCAAGACTAGAAGTGCGATGATTCCGGAAAACGACGACGCCCAGCCACAGTAGGAACCGTGCGGCTGGACAATCTAATATCACGACAACAATCAGGTTCCTCCTTCTCTGTCCAACCTGCCCGTTGTTTTACAATTCCTTTGTTTTTAGGCCCTCAAAAACAAAAAACTTTAGCTTTATTGGATTCGGGGGCATCTACTTGTTTTTTAGATGAAGAGTTCGCTAAACGCCACAAGATCCGTTTAGTACAGAAGTCCAAACCTGTTCACGTAGAGGTGATAGATGGACGACCCTTATTGTCAGGCAACGTTACCCACGAATCAAAACCTATAGAAGTGGTGTTTAAGGACCATAGTAGTCACGTTATTTTTAATATTATTAGAACCCCATCAAGCCCTGTTATCCTTGGTCTTTCTTGGTTAGAAGATCATAATCCGTCCATTGATTGGAGGCTACGAAGGATAATATTTCCTGAAAAAAATAATAATAAACTTGTTGGTAGAACCTACATGAAGAAATCCATGTTTATTGGAACGAGAGCGTTCCTAAGATCGTCCAAGGAAGGCGCACCATTTGTCATTTATGCAGCTCCAACTAGCGGCGAGAATATCTCAACATCGAATATACCAGAGCAATATAGGGATTTTGAAGACGTGTTTCAGAAGAAGAACGCCGATATACTGCCGGAACATCGACCATATGATTGCGCCATAGACTTAGAGGAAGGAGCGCAACCACCTTTTGGTCCAATATACAACCTATCGCAGACGGAGTTGGCAGAATTGCGGAAGTACATCGATGAGAATCTAGCCAAGAATTTTATTCGACATTCAAAGTTGCTAGCTGGAGCACCAATCCTATTCGTGAAGAAAAAGGATGGCTCACTGCGGATGTGCGTGGACTACCGAGGACTCAACAAGGTGACCAAGAAAAATCGCTATCCCTTACCTTTGATCTCCGGCCTCTTAGATCAACTTGGACGTGCAAGGATTTTTACAAAGATTGATCTAAGAGGAGCCTACAACCTTGTGCGAATCAAAGAAGGAGATGAATGGAAGACAGCCTTTCGTACAAGGTATGGCCATTTTGAGTACAATGTCATGCCTTTTGGTCTTCCCATTGCTCCAGCGGTCTTTCAGCATATGATGAACGACATCTTTCGGGAGTACCTCGATGACTTTGTTGTCATCTATCTAGATGATATTTTGATATTTTCCAAGAATGAAGAAGAACATGAGAAGCACGTTTGTTTGGTTCTTGAAAAACTATGCGAACGAGGACTCTACGCCAAGTTGGAGAAGTGTCAATTTCACCAAAATGAGATGGAATTTTTGGACTTCATTGCGACTACAGAGGGCTTGAAGATGGATCCAAAAAAGGTAGAAGCAATTATATCTTGGGAAGTTCCGAAGACGGTTAGAGATGTTCAGTGTTTTCTTGGATTTGCTAACTTCTATCGGATCTTCATCAAGAATTATTCTCAAGTTGCTGCACCACTCACGCGTCTAACAAGCAAAGACAAGCTCGAATGGGGATTACAAGCAGCAAAAGCATTTCAAGATCTCAAGACGGCATTCACTACGGCTCCAATCTTGGTACACCCTGACTTTGCAAAGGCTTTCTATTTAGAGACCGATGCTTCAGATTTTGCTTTGGGAGCTGTTCTTTCACAGATGGGCATAGACAAGAAGCTTCACCCAGTTGCGTTCTATTCACGGAAGTTCTCTGCTACTGAGATCAACTACGAGATCCACGACAAAGAGCTGCTTGCTATAGTGGATGCCTTCCAAGAGTGGCGTCACTTCCTCGAAGGAGCTGCACATCCAGTGACTGTTTATACGGACCACAAGAATTTGGAGTACTTCATGACAACTCGAATTTTGAATCGTCGTCAAGCTCGATGGAATATGTCTCTATCACGATTTGACTTTATTATCACCTACCGCCCTGGAAAACAGCAAGGATTATCTGACGCATTATCGAGGAGATCGTATCTTGCGCCAAAGGCTTGAGAAGCAGCGTTTGATCAACAATGTACAGCATTGTTGAAACCAAAAAAATTCAGGATTTTTGCTA